CTATGGGAGAAAATTTCCTATGGGAAAGCGAAATATGAAGGGAAAGGGTAGTTTTTCTCCATGTTAATCCTATGAGACTAATGATAAGTCTATGGGAGATTGCTTTAACATGAGTTTCTATCGGATTACAGCTTAAGTCTATGGCATAGGGATAACATGGGTAATGCTAAGTCTATGGACAATGCTAACTCTATGGCATAGGAATAACATGGGCAATGCTAATTCTATGGACAATGATAAGTCTATGTGTAATTCTAAGTCTATGGCATATGGATAACATGGGTAATGATATATCAATGGGACAATGGGATTATTAATGAATCTACCATATTCTATGGCAATGCTAATCCTATGGACAATGTTAAGTCTATGACATAGGGATAACATGGACAATGCTAAGTCTATGGCATATGGATAACATGTGTAATGGTATATCAATGGGACAATGGGATAGTAATGCTAAGTCTATGGCATAGGGATAACATGGGTAATGCTAAGTCTATGGCATAGGAATAACATGGGTAATGCTAAGTCTATGGACAATGATAAGTCTATGGGTAATGCTAAGTCTATGGCATAGGGATAACATGTGTAATGGTATATCAATGGGACAATGGGATTATAAATGAATCTGCCATAATAAATAGAACTAATTGTTGTCAAAAACATTTAAAATTCTCAAAATAATAATAGTGAAAGTATTCTAACAATAGTATTGAAAAATTAAAAATCTTTAATGCATTTCCCGAATAGTGGTTAACGTATAGCATCGCTGTGTAATCCTTGTTACAATAAGTAATAATTTAGAACAAGAATATAAAAGTCAATACAATGTATGACTTTGAATTTTTACAATTTATTAATACTGTACATTTTAAAATTCTAATTGTTACCAATATTGATCTATACTTGATTAATTGTATATATTTATACTGTATTTACTTTATATTTAATTATGTAAAAATAACCTTTGCCAAAATTATCTTTAATATCTTTTAAATAAATGCATAATTCGGATAAATTTTTAATCAAATGCTTCAGTATTTCTTAAGTTTCATTTACAGTTATATAATTATTAAAATATCAATATTTTATATAATCACCAATTTTACTAGTCTTTACTAATAATAGTTTCGAAGTTATTATATAAGTATTATATTCGAAGTTGTTAATTTACAACAACTATTCTATTAAATAGTTTTCAATGAATGTTTATTTAAATGTGAACTAAATATATAAATTTTTAAATCATACATAGATTTAATTAATCCTAATCTTTGAATCCAAAAGTTATGTTTAGTTTGAGAGCAGTTTTTAGGAATCACTGCATTAGTGTATACAATAATGCTATGAACTGCGATCAATATATTTTACTTACAGAATTTCATAGAAAAATGATTACAAAATAAGTTTTACATTCGATATAATTGAATGGAATTATTGTTTGTTTGTATAAATAGCTATAAAATAATTTTAAAATATCAAATCATTTGTACAACATTACTGCTAAGACAGACTGCAATTATAGAACATACACGTAATTGTATGTAAAGCTTTAGCTAATACTTTTATATAAATGTAAAAACAATTGAAATAAATGTGTTTAAATTAAATAAAAATAAAAAAGATGAAATAGTTTTAAATGTGACATCATATAAACATAATATCTATGAACATCTAAACATAACATCTGAAGTCATCAGATTTTGACCAATTCTTTAATCGATTAGAAATAATATACTTTAATAGTTATCCATCACTCTATAGACAACAATTGTGTCTCAATTTAAACAATGCTTTTATTGAACAAATATTTGACACAACAATAAGAATTGGTTTTCGATTCCTAAACAGATTAGCAAATAAGATATACAACGACTCGAACACACATCTGGACATACATTTGGTTTACAATTCACGTCAATAATAAATTCATGTCATTCCCACTTCTCTTACTCTTATTGTATATTTCGTAAAATTCAATTTCAATGCAAACTAAATAATAAAAAAACAAAACTTACTTTTGTTTGGAGCGGCGAACGAAATGTATGTACAAATTGTCAAAATTATAGTCAATGAATGAATTAATATTTTCACAACAATTTACAAAATATTAACTACAAATTTAATAATATTAAATTATTTGACGTTTGGATCCAAATATTATTGATAAATATTTAATAATATTTAATATAATAAATTCATTTGAGTGTAAATTTGTTGTCAAAACCTCGAGAGAAAGTGAATTCACTTTTGTATGCTTTTTCACAAATAAGATTTTATTTGAGACTGAAATGCAGTTTTTGGATATTTTCGGTCATTTATTTCGGAGGAAAACTTTGTCAAAATAGGCAACGCTTGAGAAGAGAGACACCAACACTCAAAATCATTGCACACAAAGGCAACAATTTTCTCTCTTTTCATTTGACATCACTTTTATTGCTTTCAAAGTTATTTTGAAAAAGTGTCCACAAAATAGACATCGGATTATTATGTTTCGAATACACCTTTTCTTATGTTATTATTCTTATTATTAATCACTAATTTATTGGACAGCAAATAATGTGATGAAAGGATAGACCGAAACAAAGTTGTTGTAAAGGACTTTACATAAGGAAAAGTTGGAAAACAATGATTGTGAACAATATGTGCCAAACAATAGTGTGGTTTAGGCCGACATTCACATTGAAATAATCGGAGGCAATACTTGGCTTCAAACAAAGTTTGCGTCTCTCCTCTCAATCAATGATTTGCTAATTCTTAGCGCATATGCAGTACAGTCACACATTGCAAACACCGGCAAACAGTGCATACAAACAGTGTACAATGTATGCCATACAGTACATACAGTGTAGTGTAGTATCACATGAACCGGTCTATGACTTAAAGCATGAGTTGACCACAAGTGCTGTACAGAGAAGGGGATGATTGCAATCCAGAACAAATGAAATTAACCATGGTCAATGGGTATTCCTTTTATACGGATGCATAATGTGATGAAAGTTGATATTCAAACAAATTCAAATGTAATTGATAAAGCATTGCATTTTAGGTGACAAAAACTACTCTTAAAGTCACTATAAAAGTTAAAAATGGCTAAAAAGTTACTAAAAAAGTAATAAAAAGTTACTTATTTTGCATCAAAATAATACATTCTAAGGTCGATAACATCAATTTTAAACGACAATTATAGAATTTCTTTCAAATTGTTAAATATTTTCTGCATATAAATCAAAATATTGAGTGAAATATATAACATTCTTTAACCAAGTTTTCATATCTATATGTTTAATCGAGATATTTACAACAACAAAAACAATTAGTTTATGCAATAAATAGTGAAAAGTAATTAAAGGTGAAAACGTCCCAAAAGGTGCTAAAAAGGTAAAAATCTCCAAATACCCCCAACAAGGTATTTGGTACGCTCTCACACGCACAGGAGGTTCTCTGATACACGAGAAAAAGTTATTTCACTTTAATCGAATGCCAAAAGTAATGAGAATCCATATTGAATGGAGTAAATAATGAATTTACTAATTCTTATATTAATATTAAACACAGTATTAGTTAGATTTGAATTAGTAATTGTAAAGAATCGCAATACGATACTATCGACACCAAGTATTGATACCAAAACCATACCAATAGTGAGTTTTGCCAAAACGATACCAAAAGCGATACCAAATCTTTGGCATTGTTTGTATTTGATAGTGATTTTGTGATTATTTACATTAATCTTACAGCAAAAACTGGGAGAATAGTTTTCCATTTGCACTAGCAATTTTAATTAAAAATCAATGAAGAGTGCTAGCCAGAAATCATTCAGTAATGCCCAATAAATGGTAAGATTTATAAATATGTAAAGTTACTGTATATGATTATCAAACTAAATTATCATAGTTAAATTAACATTTTGGATATTATGTAACTTTTTCCTGCCGTATAAATCAAGAGGATGTATAATTAATATACGGCCCCATTTATAATGTAAAGTAAAATCTTTATAAAAGGTATACTGCGTGCACTGGTTGTGCACTCGTACTACCTGTAGACTCTTTAAGACTCTATAAGACTCTATAAGACTCTTATTCTGCATTTATTATGCAAACTATTTATCTCCCATATCATATGGCCATATGGTCAACGGTATAAACTGGGAGAAAAATCTCCCTGTATAAAACACACTAAAGCATGCGATATTAATATCCCAGTTTATGCAATAACTGTTGGTCGATTACAATTTAATTATAGCGTTTATAACGTTTATAAGATATGTTTAAGCTTTAAGTGTTAATTATAAACACTATCCATCACAGGAGCAAAAGGCAAGAGCCAGTAGTGACGCTTTTACTTCAGTAGCATGATTAATTTTATCACATGTAGATTTGTATATAAATCGCTCTATTTATAATACTCTATTAATGCAGTATTGTCTATCTAGATAACAAATTTACTATTACATTTCTACACGATTCCCAATCATAATTATCATATAATAACAAATAGAATTATAATTAAGTGAAAATTATTAGAATACTTATAAAATGTCAACATTATTTGTACCAAGCCCATATTGAAAACTATCAAAAACGATACCAATGCGAGAAACAATTGCGATACCAAAAAGTTGCAGTTTTTCATTCAAAAATAATTAAATATTAAATTAAATTTCAAAAATTGATGTTTTAATGTTTTGAATGCATTTGTGTTACAATAAATAACTCGTTCATAACTTTCATAACCTGTTGTCACCTTATTTAGCACATGTTTGGCCAACACATTGCAGTGACTTTAACATCGTTTCAAGACTTTAATTATCACATAATCCAAAATAACATGCAATTGGAAAGCAATAATAAACAACCCCTGGTTTCCACTCAATTCCGTTGTCATTAATACTGGTTTCAGTACGGAATCAATATGTCATATACTGTACAGTCTGTACGACACCAATAAGTAGATGTGAGCATTCAATTCAATGCTAATTAATGGGGTGTGGCTTATCTATGGACATTTTTAGTGGCATTTAATTATCATAATCCGGTATTTAGGGTACTATTTGTTACTCAAATTGTGATATTTGATTGACTGATAGAAAACAATTTTTGTTTCATTTTTGTAACAAATATTGTGTTTTAAAAGTTTAGTTAGTATTAAATGTAATGAGAAAATGAAATCACAATCATATGTTTGAATACATGGTTCATATTAAGTACCCTTACATATACTCTTTAGACTCTTTACAGTATTATTATATAAACTTTTTGATCCTTTTTTAAGTGAAGTATTGTTTCGGAAACGTTTCTTCTGAATCACGTGATTATTGATACTATGGGTCCAAATACTGGACTCTTTGGAAATGTTTTCCGATTTTTGACGCATTCTTTCGATCACTTCAAGCATTTGTGGCGTTGGGTTCGAGAGATCCACATCTGATTTATGAGAGGGTGTTATTGAGGCCGACCTCTGGCGGGACAGTGTTGTTGGCGCCGAACGCACGGCTCGATGTCTGTCCAGTTTGCGGGGAATCTCACACAACTCGAACTGTTCGAACTCCTGGCGATCGGTCTTCCGAACCTTACGTCTGCCCAACTCTACACTCGAACTGACCGCGCGTTTGCCTCCTGTAATACAGACAACAATATGTTACTAATCATTATAACAGCACTCATTAAACACCACTTCTATACCTTTTTTAACACATTTAGTGACATCTCTCTCACCCCAAGTGATGAGACCGTCATTAGTAGATCCAGAACTGACTATAGCTCGGGTTAGTATGAGTTTAAGGGCGCCGTAATCGGGGTCTTCTTTGAAGCCGAGTCTCGAAATAGATTTGACGAATTCTTCGAGACCTTTGGGGACCAAACTCTTCGAATGGAAGGCATATCTGAGCAGTTCGTCGATATGACTCATGTAATACTCCTTCTGTTTTCTCACTATTTCGTGATCTTTGCAGTGAATCCACGGAAGTCTTGAGCCCGAGAGCCATGAAATGGTATTGAAGGCTAATATCTCTAAATCAGATCTACGAGTGAGAGCACCGACGTGTCCGTCACGGGATGTGAACTCAATTGTGCCGCTATTGGCCCGTCGGTTGTCCTCCTCTTCCTCTTTGTGTTCGCCATTTTGAGTCCTATAGCGCTCGACCAGACCGTAGTCCACGAGATAGATCTCACGCGCCGGAGATGTCGTCTCTAACCGACCTATTATTCAATCATTTCAATGCTTTTCATTAAAAACTCTATTTCACATCTATTTCATACCTAAGAGAAGATTTGATGCTTTGATGTCTGCGTGAATGTAACCAAAGGAGTGAATGTACGCCAGGATATCGATAGTCATCATAGTTATGGTGTACGCGCTCTTCAGAGTTAACCGATTGTTGTGTTTATTTAAAATCTTTTGTAAATCAACGCCCAATCGATCCAACACTAGGAACCGATAGCGTCGGCACGTGTTGTTAGATATGAAGATACCGGACGCCACATATCGGGGCATTCCTATGAACGCCAGTCTCTGGTTTAACATCCAATTGTCTATGAGCTTAGGTTTAGCCACTCTGTGGTAAAAATGCATTTCTGCAAACAGTGGGCCAGAGATGTGATCCACTTTCACCACAAATGGATAATTCGTGTCTTTCAGCAATTTATTCAATTTCTCTTTGTTTTTAAGCAATAATCGCTTTTTGTTAAACTTCTGAACACATCTTCTTTTGGGTAAACCATTGTATGAGTTGTTGTCAACCAAACCATTGTTTTGAGATAATGTGACCAAACATTGGGAGAGTTTGTCTTTGTTGCCACTGTTTGTGAATCTCTGACTTTCGGGCAACTCTTTAGCGCAATATATTTCACCAAAACCTCCGCAACCGATAGACTGACCCAAAAGCCATTGCCTTTTAGTAGAGTCCGTGAGTACAGAGCCGGCCGGCAACGGGTCCGGCAATCGGTACCCGTTTTCCGCGATTCGGGGCAACGGAAGCGATGCCAACGCCTTCTCGCACTCGTCCGACACTTCCGACTTGTGTCTCATTGCAATCCTTATGACAATACGATGTCTTCAATACTAACACCAAATATCTATTATCACTGCAAATGATAACAAAATTAATCAATTACTCAATACTTATCATTTGAATGTCATTTTAGTTCATATCAAATATCAAAGTGAATGACTTTTAACTCGTTTTACAATCAAATTTAAATTCAAATCAAAACAATGAAAGTGTTTAGAAATGAATGACAATTTGTACACAATTTAAATATGAGTTAAGTTATAGACAGACATAACAATGAAAACAAGCAATTAATTGAACGTTCATTGATGTTAAGTGAAAGTAATGGTAAATTTGAATACAAATTGAGATGAAATGCATAGAAATGAGTGAAAGAGTAAAGACTAGTAATGACTGAAATGAAGTGATAATCAAGTGATGAGTAATTGATTTAATCATTGGATCATTGAATGGATGCATGAATTGAATCAATTGAATCAATTGATGGCTCAATCATTGAGTCAATCATTTCATACATAGCGTACAAAATGTCGACCAAATGATAGGAAAGCAAAACACAATTAACTAATCACTGAATACATAGCAAAACATGCATTTATTTCATTCAATCAATACAATTGTGTTCATAATAAAGAGTTTTCGAAAATAAAACAAACCATTAATTAGTTTAGAATCACTTTTCAATTGCATTCAATTGTATTGATTTGTATAAGAATTACATTCAAAACAAATACTATATTTAAAAGTCTATTCACTTCTAGTCTGTCTCTAAACACTAAATACAGTAGTGTTTGAATCAGTCATCACTCGTTCACCACAACTAAACACAGACAACACTCACTACACGTCACACAACACACCACTCACTGGCACTCACTTCTGGCACGCATTGGCGTCAGTAATGGTGTCTCACAGCGGGTGTAATGCGTGTGATGTGTGTCCTATGTGTGCATTGTTTGCGTGTCACTCAATACAGCGGTACACTGTATGCGAGTGTACTGTATTCGCACACAACACAGTGTGAACACACATAACATGAATGAACACCAAAACACCGACTATTGAATCGATGTATCGAAAGCATCGATATTCATACCAAACCACTCATACAGTACTGTCAATACTTACATAATAGTAGTGACCGACACCTTCACACAATACACATGTAAATTTACACAGTATACTGTGTGCAATATATTGCATACAACTAATTATTGTCTTATAGCCTAATAGCAGTCCTTTGAAATGGTATTATATGTAGCGTATACTGTATATACTGTACATAAAACTATAGTCTGACCGCTAAACTACCAACCTGGGACGTCCTTAAATTATTTGAGATGGTAAACATAGTTTACATAATAAACAATAACTACGTTAAAAGATACTGTTTATAATGTGCATGTCCCATTTTGGCACTCAATTTACATGTGCCAGAAAAGCAGACCTAAAGTATGTAAATTACATAATGTACAACATTATTGCCTTATAATGTGATGTATGTAAACATGATATGTATATGTGTCACACATAATGTGTGTCAACAATCATTATAACTATTATTGATTTGAATCATTGTTTAATTGCAAATCACAATCAAATCAAAATTAATGCAAATCAAGTGAAGCAATGAATCGACAATCGATACGAGATATACAAAAAACCGGAAAAATCTCAATATATGAAAACTATGAAAGTATTGACATCTATTGCACATCACATACACATTAAACTCAACTTCAATTTGAGCGCAAACTTTGAATACAATATAATATAGTACTTATAGAAGTAACCGAAATATCAACAAATTGTTCGACACAACCCGACCCGAACAGACTCCACTCAAACAAAGCATTTTTTGGGCAAAAATGAGCCTTATCTTCCTTGATTCCTGGACATTTTCCTAATTGTAGCTAATTTATCCTGGACGCTTCCATTGATTTAATGATATTGTTAAATTCTGGATAGATAATTTGATTCCGGGACAATCCAGGTTATTCCTGGACATTTGGTCAGTATAACAGTAAGAAACATAACAATACATTGATATTTGGGATGCAAACACTTCTCTCATTATCAAAGAGTTGTCTTTACATATTTTACATATCTTTTGTGGTAAGAGATATCGAACATTAGCTTAAAGATCTATCCGAATCATACAATAAGTTGTATTTTGAGACCTATTACATACATGTATTTTGTCTGTTACCACATATTTTCATACATTTGGGAAAAGTTGGCAAAATATGTAAGAATTGTATGATTTGAAAAACAATGCAAAAATGATATTTCGTTACATTTAAATATTATTACTTATTAACATATCAAGCATATTTACATTTAGACAATAAATTAAAGCTGTTTTCTCTATAAACACATCACTCTTTAATTGAAATAAATAAACATATTTATAATCAATGGTTTTGTTCATATAATCATAACATTGAGAAAGTTAAACAACAAATTATTTTTGATATAAATATAGTTGGAGTGTAAAACATAGAGTAGGGATGGAAAGAGTGTTGAGGGATTATTATATTCTAGACATGATTGTCTTGTTTAATGAGCATGGCACATTTCTCGCCGATCATGATCGCACCGGCGTTTGTGTTTCCATTCATTAGTAGAGGCATTATAGAGGCGTCGCAGACGCGTAAGCCCTGCATGTTTTTGACGCGACATCGGGGGTCGACCACCACATCGGGTCTGTGGACGTCACCCATCCTACAGGTGCCCGCCGGATGATAACAGGCGTAAGCCGTTTGCTCTATCAAACAGCGGATATAAGAATCGCATTCATATACGTATTGTTTGTCGGCACAGAATTTACAGCCAGGAATAGGAGATCCGGGCTCTAGATATTGAGCTATTGATGAGCGTTCGTAGAAGAAAAAGGCGGCTTTAATCACTTCAACCAAGTCCTGCAAATCTAAGTTTTGGGCATCAGTTAGGAATCCGGCGTCAATTAACGGGTAATACAGCGGATTGTTTGACGCCAAACGGATTTGACCCCGACTTCGCACTCGTTGAAGGATTGGGTGCACAAAAAAGTAATATCTGCCTAAGAATCTGCTGTTATACAAATCCCAAGCATGTCGGTCCTAAATATTGCGCAACAATAATTAGGATTAAATAATTAAATGAAATGATGACTAACCTCGTGCACAAATGCTCGGACATCTGTTAGGTTTGTGGGATACAGATATAAACCAGTTTCCCAATTGGTGTTTGGGTGAAGTTTGTCATCATTATTATGAGTGTTATAGTAGACGCCTAATCGGTAGTGTTCGGTGAGGGGTCCCATCTTATTGGCGAGGAAGTCGTGCAGTTGTGGGACAGTCATCTGTCCGGCAACACTCAACAGATCGTAATATTTTTCTTTAATCAAAAAATTGATGGAAACTCCCAAATGGTTTTGATAATTGTCTCCTACGGGAAGGTCGTTAACTAGAGGTATATTCATTTGATGCAAGTGTTCCTGAGGTCCCACTCCCGACAACATAAGCAGTTGTGGCGAATTAATAGCTCCTGTATTCAAATTAGTAATTTATTAATTGTTCGACTAATTGTTGAATTGAACATGAAAATACCTGCGCTAACAATCACCTCTTTACTGGCCATCACTTTATATTGGTTGCCATATCTGACAAACTGGACGCCAACAGCTGTTTTATCTTTAAATAATATGCGAGTAACTAATGCTCGCGGAAGGATATGCAGGTTATGTGGATATGGATTGGGATCGATGTAGGCATTGGAAGTGCTGGACCTTCTGCCTTTGCTGTCAATCATAGCCTGTAAAATTTGAGTCCCTAATTGGTTGGCGCCGTTTACATCAGTGTTGGCAATATTGAGTTCATTTGCAGCCTTTTGATGCAAAAGTACGAGTGGAGGCGGATGTGCCCACGAGCTGATCTCCACCGGACCTGAAGTGCCATGAAATCCATTGTTGGCCAACAGTGGGTCTAAATTGCGTTCGTATTTTGTAAAATAAGGCAGTATTTCATCAAAACTCCAGCCCTCGGCACCGAAATATTTGGCCCAAATGTCAAAAGTCTTAGGGTTTCCGCGATTGAAAATCATTGTATTGAAAGAAGAAGTGCCGCCAATTACGTGACCTCTGTTTTCGACGATCACACCGTTTTGGTAACTGAGTCCACATTTTTGAGGCGTTAGAGTATAGTTCCAGTCATACTCTGAATTGAAGAGCAGACCCGTTGACGCCTGGGCTGGTATATCGTTTTGGACACTCGTAGGCCCTCCAGCCTCCAGAAGCAGTACACTTACGGCAGGGTTTTCTGCCAATCTGTTAGCAATGACAGCACCGGCAGAACCCGAGCCAACAATTATAAAATCGTAAACATTATTGAGCTGATTGTGTGGGGTTTCGATGGACTCGTGATTTATATTAATTCTCAGAATAGTCGCAGCAATTGTTAACAATTGAACGGAAAGACTCACTAATGGAGGCATTCTTTAGTACCATATATTACTTTCTATGAAATATAAACTTATAATTTCTAATTTGTAAAACCACTCAATGCACTACAATTGAATGCAATTCAATCAATTCATTCAATTTACTTAATCAAGAAATTTTTTCTTATATAAATCTTGTTTTATTCACTTCGAGGCAAATGTTTTTGTTTGATTCAAAAATGAGAGCAAATATATTTTTCTTTAAAAAAATTCTATAAAAATAAAATTAATATAATTATTACATTTAAAATTAATGCCAAAGATATGCAGATAATTTATAAACTTATTTTTTGCATCAAATTTAGTAACTTTTTTATTAATTGGAAAGTTGTAAGAATTAACTAAAGTTTAAATTATATTTCTCATTTTATAATTCTTTATATTTATTTTTCAATATTTGTAAAATATATTTTTGCCAGTTCTAGTTTAATAATTATTTATTAATTACAAGCAAATTATATTAGAATATCATTGAATTTAAATATTTACATGTTTTTTATATTATAAATAAGAAAACATTTACAGACTTAACCACATAATCTATATGTCCTTTCATATCATTTATTGAATATATTCCTATAAATTTATAACCTGTATTTTAATAAGCATATGATAACATAAAGTAATTTAAATGCTTCGTTTATAGATTATTAATAATAATTAAATAAACAAAATCTAGAGTAAAAATCAAATAAAAATTAATAAAACAAATACAGTATGAGTCATTAACACTTAACGAACGGGCCAGTTAATAGATTTGCCTGTATCAAAATACACTTTCACCATAACTAATGAACCCCAAAATTCTGACATTATATTTAATAGCATAAAATAATATTTAAAAAATTGAACATAAAAATAATCATGAAATTTGTCAAAATTTGTTTGAGTAATAATAAAGAATCGAAAGTGTAAATTAATAGCTGTTTTAGAAATTGCAATTTTAGTTTTCTGTAATTTTTAANATATTTATTTTTTTAAATATTTATTTTTCTTCTATTTTAGTATTAATTCAAGAATATGATGTGATTTTTAAAAAATAATCAATAAACAACGTCAAAATAATAAAAATTGAAATTATAATTTCTTAATTTCGAGATAATTCAAAAACTATATGTTACATGTAAGTTATAATAATATATTCCGATTCTACGTTAAATTCTACATTGATTTAGTGTACCATATGTTAATTTTGAATAAGTTAAAATTTCCCGATAAAAGTGGTCATTACTGCCGATCCCGAGGTCGGTCGGCCATATGGATTATATCATTGGACTCCTTATGCAATGTACTTTCATTTTATATTGTCAAATCCCGGGTGCCAGCTTAGGCAGCTTTCGCCATCGTACTTTATTTGTTGTAACGATTTATAACACAATTGTAATTCGTATTGTGAGAGAAAACCTCAACATAAAGTGACTATTCTTTTTGCACATTGAAAAGAGAATTAATATACTGAAGATAAAAGTACTCATAATTTTAAGTTTCGGTTTTGTTTTGTTTCGCGAAACTAGTTTCAGTGGCAATCGTTTAAATAATTATTTCACAAAACATGGAGTCATAGAGAATATCACTCATTATTAATGATTATTAATACTTTATAAAGACTTTCAAATGCTATTAATTATTACTGTATAAATATTCCTATAATGATTATAGTATAATCTATTCAATTATCTGTATTTCAGTAAAGACTTTATTGTATTGTGTATTTCCATAGAAGTGATATTATTCACGCCTCTAGGATTCATCCGCGCATTCATCATGGTATTATATTATTATCTAACCAGTCAAATGAAAGTGTCCCCGCGGTTTTTGTGATTACAGCTAAACTAGAAGAGCTAGATCAAATCTGTAAGAAGTAAAATGAAGGTCCACATGTCTAGTTTTTTGTATCAAA